GATGGTGTAAATTGGTTTTACCTTATCCGAAATTAGGCTATGCTAAGCCACATATTTCTATTTTTAGTTTATATTCTTTATTTTGTGTATATTTTTAGTTATGACGATTGGGATTTCCTTTTATAGCTAGCAAAAGTAAGCGAAGTGAGGGAAGTAAGGGAAGTAAGCAAAGTAAGTTAGTCTGTAAATTTAAGTATATAAGAGCATTACGCTCCTCTTCAATAAAAATATAACTGAGAGTTGGAATAACTCAGTAGAGTTCGACTCATTGAGAGTCCATTATCATCCTTAAAACATTTCGCTCTAAGAGTCTCGTGACATAGTCTAGAGCTCTATTTGGCCCTAAAGACTCGGACCAAGTCTTTCCACGCCCTCTTTCGTGCCTTCCACCATTAGGGTCCAGATCGAGTTTGGCATAATTCGGTGGATTAGAGTGTTGATTTGGATTAGTTTAGTCCCCGTAGATACCCGTGAAGCCTTATTAAGACATTAGGGGTCGATTTAGCCCCTTACAATTTGGTGGTGACTGTGAGATACTTACTTTTTAACCCACCCGAATTAAAACATGGAAGTAAATACTTATCTCAGAGAAAAAACCCGACCACAATATCCACGAAGGTTTAAATCACCACAGATACAAAGAAATTTCTGAAAAGAAGCCCAATGCTCCTATTGCAAAACAAAAGGATACATAGTTAATAAATGTCCGGAAGTGGAAGTGTTAGAAGAACGATGTGCTAATTTATCTGAGATCCCTACCAATAAACAAGCAGCTGAATTCCAAGAAATAGTAGATGAAGTCTTTGGAAATAATTATATCGATGATGCACAACTCCCTTTGGCCCTGAAAATAATACTCGAAATATTAGAAGACCTCACTAATGATAGACGTATTGAAGAAGTTCCGATTATATACCTACCGCCCTACATTCAAGTGACCCCAGCTTTGAAAAAGAAAAGTCAAATATCTCACACTACGAAAGCTTCTTCAACCAAGCCCCAACGAAAAAGATTGATGGGCGCCAACGCTTTTGACGCTCACTGTGTCCAAGAAGGACGGGAGAAAGAACCCTTCGGAGGTATCAAGCTTGGTCCAAAAAAAAGAATGTCCAACAGCGAGTATAATGGTGACGAAAAGAAATCCTTCAAAAGTTATCAACGATGGGAAAGGGATATAGAAGCTAAAAAGAGGCAAATCATCGAAACGAAGCTTGAATTATGCTAGAGACAACTTTAATAGCCGATGTGATCTTGGATTTTGCCGGCAAAATGAATTTAGCATTGAAAAGAAAGAGCATAAAGCATCGATTTACTATCAAAAAGTACTGAAGATAGATAGAGCAAACGAAACTTCTAAAGTTAGCTATTATGATAGCAATGGAAATAAAGTAGAAAGAAAAGATGAGCATATAATTTCCCGTAAAAGTCTTAAAGATTCAAGTCCCATCGATCAAAATCATTCTGATATAGATAGTAATATTAATAAACCTTATACCCTTGGTGTCTATTGCGACGAAGGAATTGAAGCCCAGAAAGACGAACCTAAAGCACCCACATACGAGCAAAAATCAGCAGAGATAAATAATTCTAACGGAATTTATCAAGTTGGTTATCGTTATAATTTAGGTACTGGAGTTGAAATCGATAAGCAAAATTATTATCCAAAGTCTGCTAATATGGACGAATTAAATGCTGATACGAAGAATAAAGAAATCTTTGAACAGCCTATAAAATCCACCGAAGTGGATAAACACGAAAGTAATATTAGAACTTAAACTAATATTATCAAAGAACTTTCCTACCAGCAACCAACAGCAGATATGAAAAATATCCGAAGCGCCAAAACGAATGAAGAAGCCTCCAAGTTGGACGATAAACTTGATTACAAGAATATAACTTCGAACATGAGTAGCTATTACCTCGAAGAACTTGATAACGCCGACGATGATAATGATAAGGACAAGATTTGGCATCCTTGTAACGATACAGTCCCCGAAGATTGGCTGGGCCCAAATGATCATGAAAATGCTGAAAAGGAAGTTCTAATGAGCTACATAAAGACTGCTGAAACGGATCATACCGGTAGGATCGAAGCTGAAAAAGACAATCACAAGGCACTCACTTATAACCAAAAACTAAAAATGGAGAACATTAATAAAGCGGTTAAACATAATTACAAGGATAGACTAAATGGCGAAAAGGAAGCCTCAATGAAGAATCGAAAATTTGTCGGAGTGAGTTACGCCGATATAGTTGAAGCTGAGAAAGAAGAAAATAAGGCACACACTTACTATCAACAATCGACGAAAATGGATAAACCTAGTCAACCACGTAATAAGAAAAATAAAGTCCGCAATGCACCAAAACGAAAAAGATGAAAGAAAATAGCCGCATCTATATTTATCTTATTTAATCTCATTATCAACCTACTGCTACTTTTATGTATGCTAGTAGAGGCTAGAAACGTAAATGAACAATAGATATCTGCTTACAATCAAAACTTAGTCGTAGATAGAATATATACGGTTAAATGCTATGAAGATAGAACTGATGTTGAAGAAGATAAATATAGGGCATTCTATTACTATCAAAAATCAGCAGTAGATGAGCGCAAATTATCCAAAATCAACAGCAAGAGGTAATTTCAATCGGCAAATTAACTTCGGGCCTTGCAAAAAGAAGATCAAAGTCGAAAATGATGAAATTGATGTATTCACCTATCAAAAATTTACTGAAATGGGACTTAGCATAAGGGAAGTTGGATTTCGTTATGAATATGGAATTTGGATTGAAAGAAATGGAAACCTAGCATTCACACATTATCAAAAATCAACTGCCATGAATAATTCAAGTGGAATGTATCAAGTTGATTATTGTTATAATCTAGGAATTGGCGTGAAAAAAGACCCATTCGTTATTATGGCATTTGTTATATTCAATATGCGAAATATAGAAAATGCGCACATTGGAGATAACACGCGACCAGCATGGTGTTTATCATGCGACACTGACATAGCAACAAGCTGGACAACTGGAAATAAAGATATTGATGACTGCATAAAAGAATTCCAACATAGAACCTGGAGTTATGCGATAAAATGGATTCCACGTAATAGATTATCTGATGTTAAAGAAATCAGTAAAGAAGAATTGGTTCTGTATGCTCAGCAACCGCATACGAAAAGTTTAAAAAGAGGACTTTACCGTAGATGACACCACCAGAAGTTTTAAATATCATCTGATATTTATTCATTTGGTATAATTATATGGGAAACATTAAAGGAGCACTCAATATCGGAGTAACATTAGTGTAGAAAAAAAAAAAGATAAAGATATGACATAATTTAAAAAAAAAAAAAGTAAAAAAAAAAAAAGAGGCATTTACATATTATCTCAATGCTGCTGAGAATATGGACAATTGGAAATATAGAAAACGTTCCAACTTATAGCTAAAGATTCGATTGAATAGATTCCATTCAATAATTATCCAATATCGAAAAAATTGGAAAAAGAGGATTTGCAACTGTATATTATGTGCGTTGGCCCAACCGAATTAATGGTGCATGGTGTAATGTTGCACTTTAAGTGAATCGTGATTCAAACAAAAAAGGAACAAGAATTTATCCAAGAATTGAAGAATTATTGTGAAGATAAAGTATCACAATTGAAACCAAGAACTGGAAACCAACTCAAGGAATAAGATGAATTCCGAAATTGAAGAAAGGAAGAAAAATCGAATTACGCGAGAAATAGAAAAATCGACGTGAAGAAAAGAGAAGAGTTGATTAGTATTGGAAACAAGAAAATGGACATGACGAAATTAGATACGATAGGTTATGACAGTTATTGTGCGGGTCGGGTGTGGGGCACATAACAGCAAGCAAGAAAAGGAAGATAAAGAAGAACAGAAGATATAATCACAGAAGAGAAGAAAAGAGAAGTACAAATTAACACGAATTGAAAAAGATAAAGGGACGGCAAGGAGGAAGGATACGTCCGTATCACATGCCAGGTAAGTCTTGAAAGAAGCCCTGGATGGATATCATAGTGTAACCCCAAATACGTACATTACCTGCTGGATAAGACTCAAGAAAAGCCCAGAGGAATTCAAAACGTATCTACGAATAGAACCTGTACAAAATGTACAGTATTGGATATTGTTATCCAAATGAAATTGGTATTGAAAAAGATGAACATGAAACATTGCCCAAGAAGTAACCTACCTGAATCAGAGAAATCTGACATTAAGCGCAATGCGGTCTAGGTAGTCGGTGGCCTAGCATGACCAAGAAGGAGTTGATGTGTTCTCGTGGAACTCGAACTTAAGTTGGGGAGTTTGTGATGGTGTAAATTGGTTTTACCTTATCCGAAATTAGGCTATGCTAAGCCACATATTTCTATTTTTAGTTTATATTCTTTATTTTGTGTATATTTTTAGTTATGACGATTGGGATTTCCTTTTATAGCTAGCAAAAGTAAGCGAAGTGAGGGAAGTAAGGGAAGTAAGCAAAGTAAGTTAGTCTGTAAATTTAAGTATATAAGAGCATTACGCTCCTCTTCAATAAAAATATAACTGAGAGTTGGAATAACTCAGTAGAGTTCGACTCATTGAGAGTCCATTATCATCCTTAAAACATTTCGCTCTAAGAGTCTCGTGACATAGTCTAGAGCTCTATTTGGCCCTAAAGACTCGGACCAAGTCTTTCCACGCCCTCTTTCGTGCCTTCCACCATTAGGGTCCAGATCGAGTTTGGCATAATTCGGTGGATTAGAGTGTTGATTTGGATTAGCTTAGTCCCCGTAGATACCCGTGAAGCCTTATTAAGACATTAGGGGTCGATTTAGCCCCTTACAACGTACGTACGTACGTACGGAATTCATACGTGTTTGTATGATACAAAATAATTAAAAGTCGTTTTTATTGATGTAATCTATAGCATCAACAAGTGGCGTAATCAATACACGGTAAGCTATGCCAAATTTGTTTAATGAAAACAGAGATAACGACGAAATTAGACAAGCGAAAAGGTATTTTCTTTATTTGGATTACGACTTGTTATATAATAATTACTCCACGTGCATTACTTATTACGATCACACTCGAATTACATCAGATAGCCGTCACTCAGTAGCACATGTTGATTCCGAATTGAGAGAATCAATAATCGACATGTAGTATAAATAGAGAGACAATTATTTTAAATCAGTTAAATCTAATCTAGACAAATTATATACTGTAGGTACATAATTTTTAGGTTCATATAAACATAACGTTATTAATTGATCGATATACTTGTATACGTATAGACATTCATAACTGCCATTATGTATTGCACATTTAAATTTAATAAACATAATAATGACATATTATATTTAATCTAAGATCAAATTAATCGATAAATTTATTTATTTTTTTGGTCATTTACTTAAGACTTCGCTAAATTTTCATCAATCGCTTTCGAGGCGCAGTTTCGGGTAAATTGACCATTACAACGTACGTACGTACGTACGTACGTACGTAAGCTCGCACGACTTTAATCGTCTTTTCAAATTTGGATTTTGGCACCGTTTCACAACATTCATTTTGGATATAGCTACTACAAACATACACATACATACGCACTGAAATCTTTCTTTTTCAATATGATTTCAATACCTAATGAATGCTACTATATAATATTTAATAACCTCCGGTATAATTACAGAAGGTTATTTTCGTGTGCACTTGTAAGCCGACAATGGTGTAGAATGATTATACCAATATTATGGAGTAAACCGGAACACCATTTAAAAGATAGAAGACTTATAAAAATATTTATTTTATCGTTAAATGTTAAAGAGCAAGCTTTATTAGTTCCCTTTAAAATTACTCTTCAAAGTTATCCAAAGCCATTATTTGAATATGCAAATTATATCACAACTATTAGAAGTTATTTGTCTGAGGGTGTTAGAAATTGGCTTTCTTATAAAGGATATGAAACAGGTCATGAGATTGAATATGCCGTTGAATATTCCTTGATAACAATGTTTCTACGAACTAGTAAGAACCTTAAATATTTAAGTCTTAATGTAATTATTTGTAATAAATTAATATTTGAAAGCCTTTATGGAAATACTACTGTTACTTCTATGGATTTATATATCATTTGTGATTCCGAGTCTAAAGAGATAGATGGATTAGTAAAATTCATTAATAAGAGTTCTACTTTGACTTCTTTGAATCTTAGATCAATTCAACTTGGGATTGAAGGAGTGAAAACACTATTAAATGCTCTTAATAAAAACACTGTCTTAAATTCTTTGGATCTCCGTAGTAATCGAATTGGTACTGAAGGAGGGAAGGTATTAGCTAAATTTCTTTGCAAAAACACTACGTTAACTTCTTTAAGTCTTGCTAGTAATAATCTTATATCAGAAGGAGGAAATGCACTAGCAGATGCACTTTGCAAGAACACCACGCTAAAAAATTTTGATCTTTGTAATAATAATCTTGGATCAGAAGGAGTAAAAGCATTAGCCGATGCACTTGGCAAGAACATCACGTTAACTTCTCTGAATCTTAGTGAAAATAACCTTAGATCGAGAGGTGGAAAAGCATTAGCAGCTGCACTTTGCAAGAATACAGGGCTGACCTCTTTAAAACTTGATTGGAATATTCTTGGATCAGAAGGCGGAAAAGCATTAGCTGATGCACTTTGCAAGAATTCCACATTGACATTTTTGAATCTTAGTAATAATAATCTTGGATTAGAAGGCGGTAAAGCATTAGCACATGCACTTTGCAAAAATACCACGTTGATTTCTTTAAATTTAAGTTGGAATAATCTTGAATCAGAAGAAGGAAAAGCATTAGCTGATGCACTTTGCAAGAATACCTCGTTAAAGGATTTGAATCTTCATTATAACAGACTTGGATCAGAAGTAGGAAAAGCATTGGCTGATGCACTTTGCAAGAACAACACGCTGATCTCCTTGGATCTTGGTTATAATAATCTTGGATTAGAAGGAGGAAGAACATTAGCCGATGCACTTTGTAAGAATACCACATTAACTTCTTTGAATCTTGCTTTTAATAATATTGGATCAGAAGGGGGAAGAGCATTAGCTAATGCACTTTGCAAGAATACCACACTGACTTCTTTGGGACTTTATTGGAATAATCTTAAGTCAGAAGGAGGAAAAGCATTAGCGAATGCACTTTGCAAGAACTCTACTCTTACCTACTTGAATCTTAAATGGAATAGACTTGGATTAGACGGTGTAAAAGCATTAGAAGTTTCACTTTGCAAGAATACTACGCTGGCTTCTTTGAATATTCAATCCAATGATACTAATTTTAAATTAAATTCCTTCAATCGAAATACAGAAATACTACAAT